CCCCCCCCCCCCCCCCCCCCCCCCCCCCCCCCCCCCCCCCCCCCCCCCCCCCCCCCCCCCCCCCCCCCCCCCCCCCCCCCCCCCCCCCCCCCCCCCCCCCCCCCCCCCCCCCCCCCCCCCCCCCACTATATTAAAGAATTAAAACACTTTGTTGAGCTAAATTTTTAAATCAAGCATTCTTAAGGAAGCTTCTCACAGCGAAAAGTCCGTTCTTCACAAAGATTACAATATTGAGTTTCAAATACGAGCGATGTGCGCTGGCAGGTGGTATGGAAATTTGGAAAAAAATAAACTTGAATGAATTTTTTCCCGTTATTAAGCTACACACAGGATTGTGCATAACCTTTTGCTAGGAAGGGGGTGGGGTATAGTAGCATGTTAGCTCTCTATAACTTGCTATAACAAAAGCAATCTTCAGCTCGGTTTGCACACCAACAACAAATTATTATTACGTTAAAATATTTTACAGAAAAACTAATGTACAATGATGAAATAGTAACAGTTAATAATAATATCTAATGGTTGTTGATGATATTTGATAATCTGCTTCTCTTCAATTGATAACGATTGATTAGGAGAAGGAGCGCAAAACGAAATTATAGTAATGCAAATGAAAACACTAAATTATATTTTATAATTTTAAAAGAATATTAAAGATAAATTAAATGTAAGATTTAGTTTATATTAATTATAAACTTAAAGTATTAGAATTTCTTCTTCTTTTGTATGATAACAGAAGAAGATTGGAGAGGATGATGATGAGAATTCCTTTTCTCTTCAGACGAGAGAAGAAGAAGAAGAAGTCGAAGAAGTTTACAATTTTAGTTTACAATTTTTGAAGAAAACAAAAAACTGATTTTTTTTAATGAATTGTCGACACGAAGATAATGTGTCTCCACATTTCGTGTCACTATGGAACATAAAATAATAATAAAAAACAATTATTAATTGATTTCACTCTCTCTATACAAAGAACGCATAGAAGAAGTTTCTCAAACTGTTTAAGAAAGAGAAAATAAAATATGTAACGGCAAGCGGCCGCTACTGCGGGTACAGTTCCAAAGACAAATAATATAAAAATGAATTATTCACCAAATGTTGTTCACCAAATTGTTCACTACATAATACGCAACGACAAAATCTTTCACAAAAACTTTCTTTCATGCCTACATTCTCAGTTGACACTTTGTTACCGAGTGGCTTAGACTTAGATCATGATACTTCAACATGTTTGCTGGATGCAGTCCTCTTGTATATTCAACGAACGCGCAGATTTGAATAACTGCAGACATAGTAAATTTTCAATTATGTCCAGCCCACAGTGGGCAACCATGTGGGCATTAGGTGAAAAAACGAAAGTGGACTTTTGGCAAATTCAAATAGCAGGCCATATACTTGGGCAAACGCTGTATCTTTTTGCCATTGGCAGTCTTTTCTAGGTGTTATAATTAGTGACAAAATCGCCATGTAAATTTTTTGTCGGAAATCAGAGCGATTAAGTTAAAAAAATTATTTTCGTCCAAACAAAGTACGATTTTCGCAAAACTTATACATCGTGCGAAACTAGACCTTTGACTCTATCGATTCCTACAAGAAAAACTTTCCAAAACGCTTTATCACCGAGAAAAAAAAATTTCTTTCTATGCCAAGTGTGTTCCAAAAAGCGTGCCGCAGTATAATGGGTGCTCGACAAAAACATAGCAGAGAAATCTTTTAAGCGCTTTAAAAGCCAATGTTCACATGCCTAGTCAAAATTGCCCACTGTGCGTCCTTCCTTAGCCGCCTCTACCATACAAAATTAACCCAAAAATAGGGGAGAATATTCATCTAATTATTGGAAAACCACTTCAGCAGTATTGAAGGTTTTCTAGAAGTGCCATAAAATACTTTTTCAGAAAGGGTTGCGTTCAACGCGAAAATGTAGATAGAGATTTATAGAGCAGGCGTTCGTCAACATAAGATATTGCTCACCTCTGTGTGGCTTTTCGAAAGTTATCGGCGTGCTACTAGACGCAATAAAATTCCACAATCCGCGAGGGATGTCAGAGTTCCTGCAATTCAGCTATTCTATAGAATTCTATGTTAGTACAGACATAGTTGCTCACCTAGAATTCTATACATTTCCGCTTGACTCAAACTTGGTCAATAAAAAGTATCTCTATGCTAACGTAGAATTCTGTAGAATTCTACCTTACTACACATGTAGAATATATTAGCCGAGTGGGAGACAAGCGAAAATGTATAGAATTCTATAGAATTCTAGGTTAGCAACTATGCCTGCACTAACGTAGAATTTTATAGAATTCTATACATTTCCGCTTGACTCAAACTTGGTCAATAATAAATATATCTGTACTATTAGAATTCTATAGAATTTTATACATTTTCTAGATTTCTGTTTTGAGAATAACTAGGACTTATCATGTTTTAGCTGTGAAAAAGTTGTTGTAGAATTCATAGGGAAAATGTAGAATTCTATAGAATTCTGTAGAACGTCTGAAATGTAGGAATTCTGCCATTGCTGCAATCCGCTATATGAGCCATAGTTATAGGCTGGTGAGGTGGCCACATCTGGCCGTATATACTGCGTGTAGTGTATGGATAGAACGCAAAAAAATGGTACCGAGATATGTGATCTCATCAGAAAGTGAATCTCCTAAAGAAGTCAGATGTTCGAAATATGTTTTTTGCTCCAGATATAAATAAGGATCTTTCGAATACTTCAGGGAGTTTTCAAGGATTTTTCTTTTAAGTTTTTGCTTTATTTTAATCAGCAAAAACTCAAATATTCGGCTTCGCCAGGAAGTCCAAATGGATGTTGACTATAAAAGAAAACAATTCCGAGCTTTCTAGCTGCTTATTGGGAGCTCGAAAATTTGAATTAAAAAAACCCTTTTTGCCCTCAATCGAATGGATAATATTCTCTTATCACCTCAAATGGTTTCTTTCGCACTGTACACTAGACCGTTTTGTAGCATCAGCATCACTACGAAAAACCGTGGAAAGTATATGTAACTTACAATTATATTGTCAAGTGAACCTTTGATAATTAATTCTTTAGCGACTTCAATTGCATCCCAACTCAATGCTAAATCTAATAATTGATCTTTTTGTAAGTTTACTTCATCCCTCGTTTCATGTCTAACACTTTCAGAAACGATCTCTTTTTCTCTTTGCATTAAACGTGGATGTAAACGAGCTTGATCATATTCAGCTGTTGTCATTCTACTGATATCCGATTTTTCGATTAACTTTTGATGAGCTAAAATAATAACCACGACCATCGTTACCGAAAATTTCTTTGTAGTGCTTATTTTTATAGCTTACATTTACAAATACTTCTAAATATTGTAGTTGATAAATCATTGTCATTATCCAGTTTAAATATTGTTATATTTGACCGAACACCTCGTTGAAGACAATACAGAACTTGTAAAATACAGTCATCAACTTTTTCTTTTACTTGTTTCTTAACTTTTGCCTTAGGTAGTTCATCATCACGAGAAACAATTGCAGCCAATTCATCTTTTATTTGGTTTACATGTGCATCAAATTTCTGTACCAGACTATGCAAACATGATTTATCAGATATAGAAAACGTCTTAGATGTACTATAAAAAAATATATAATTACTCTTTTTTCTTTAAATAAAGTTGATAGGCAGCTACGTCTGGGATTCTAAAAATTATACCACTTAATTCATCATAGCTTCTTCGTAGATGAAAGAACTAACTTTCGTTCATTGCTTTCATCCTCAGTTGTTAATTGTTGCATGTCTGACTGATGCCGCCGTCTGCTTGTGCTATCTTTCGGTAGCTCATACAATTCCCCAATGTCAATTGGCAAGTCTGAATCACGATCTTTCATACCATTATTATTTAATTTAATATCTTCGCTGTCCTCGTCTTTTGTATATGATAACCACCGAGTGAAAAAATCAGCTGCTCTTCCACTACCCTATTTGACAAACAAACGGTCTAACTTATTCATCGGCGTTCAATAATATGTGATACATACGTCAATAATAATAACTGGAATATTTCTCCGTAAATCATAATACATATTTTTAATTGTATCTCGGCCACCCTCGACAACAATTGTTACCGTAGGCACTAAAAACACGAAAAATTTTTCATTAAGATTGTCAGGCAAGGATACCTTTGCTAAGAAAATAGAGGGGAAGAGCATCAGATTCTCTTCTCGCACCTCGTAATAGCATTCAGTCCTTTTATCCAGCGCGTACAGCAGGAAGTCTTAACTATTTAGGGAACTAAGAAGTGCTGAGTTTATGCTGACAAGTTTCTTATGAATACATAAAAAGTTTTCTGTTCGCAGTTCTATACCTATACTTATGTCGTTTGCTATTTCGTGAACTAATCTTGTTCTATAATCTTCAGTATCATATTGACGTAATGTACCATCATCTAATAAAATATAATGTGTGTGATTCATCTCTAGATCCTGTTCGCCACGTTGTCTTGGTTGTACTTCTTCTCCACCTATGAATGGTACATTATGTGCGTTATTCGGCTAGAAGATGGAAAGTAAGAGAAAAGCACTTATTGATAATCAATGAAAAGTAAGTGTATCTTTTGACCTACCTGGTTTTCACCATGTTCAGGCTTTTTTAACTTTTCAAAATCTTTGATACAGCCATACTTTGCTATACCAATGGCCGTTATTTTTTTCTTATCAACACTTGTTAATCTACTCTTACTTATAGCATGACCAACTAATTGTACGATGCCAATATTGAAGCCATTTGTTATCAACCACGCTTCTGCAAAACGCAGAAAAGGAACTTATCACATACACCTATAGCGGTCTAAAGATGGAGCCCGACTCAAGTTATCCGTTAAACCTGTTTAGTAGGAAGTATATAACTGTGCTTAATCCCCACAGTTGTCAATTTTCCCTTATGATGCGAACATTATACATTTTGAAGGGTAAACCTTTTCTTCATGAGTCCTGATCACTCTTGAGTTATTATAACGCCTTGTGAAAAAAGATTATTTTTTCCGAAAAATCGTCCCTGGCACTAGAAATGGAGATTTTTATAGTAATAAATAGCCCATTTATCGAGGTATGTTTCCTCCAAACTGAATCTAAATAAAATGGATATTCCATTTTTGGACGAATGTTCTCATCGTTGCCCACCATCCGCCGCGTGTCTGGGTGACTAAGTCGCATAGCCCTCTTGCCTTGTCTGACAAAGTTTCTATCGAAGTATACCCTTGTTGTGAAAACCGTTGGTGAACCGATCACCGACGATTTTCGAGCGGTTTTCGCAACATGGGATCTCCGTATATATATATTCAGGGCTTTCATGAGCATAACTAGAGTATCGCGCGAACGGACCATGCGGAGACGACTGCAGGTGAAGCAATATAACCCAGAGTCCCTACGAGTTTGTCTCATGAGGGCTAGCCAGCGACTCCCCCAACTTCTTATAAGAGTGACTCGGGTACGAATGTGCTGTTTTGGACTTGACTGGGGCAGCCTGAGAGGACGACTTTGTACCAATTGTGGTCAATTGCATACAATACCCCCCCCCCCTCCATAATAGGATCTGTTACAGAGAGGGGGGGAGGTTACTTCATGTCGGGTTACCTGTGGATGTTTTCAAACGCTTGATAAAGCGCTGTTTAATGACAATACGCGGAACCTCAAACAGAAACGAAAAATTTATATATAAACTTATTTTCTTATTGGATGCATTTCTGCGTGAAACTAAGGGCAGGAATGTAGGATAAGATTTTCAGCTGTTTTCAGTAAATTATGACAGTATATACTGGACAGTAAGTTATATCTACGTATCCATGTATACTTTTGTTGCATTTTTACCAGATTTTAAAGCAACATTTATGATTTCATTGATAAATTTTGCTTCTAGTCCTTCAGCTAGTTTAAAATATCTGGCACCACCAATAATTGACATTATTAAACGTGGTTTCGGTAATTTCCAGATTTCAAGCAACACTTTTTTTAACACTTTTGGTTCTGTTCGTAAAATGTCACATCGTACCCACTGCAAATGCAAAAATTTTCAGTTTTGTATATACAAAAACTGTGTGGTAAAGAAATCAGACGTACAGGCGCATCGTTGTTTAACAATCCATGCTCGTTTTTCACTTCACTTATTGTATGAATTTTGATGTTCCATTCGTTTTGGTGTGTATGAGGCGGAGGATGTTTACCATGCGCACTCAACCTGCGACCACAATGGCACAATTCATCGGCAGAACTTAAAGCATATAATATAGATTTCAACCAGCAAAAAAGACTAGAAGCAGCAAAGCGATGAAGCCGGTCTAAGAAATTCATTGTTAGCTTTCTAGCTTAGAGTAGTAAAGGTATGAAAGTTTATTCCATGGTTCTGTTGAGGACAAACAGAACTGCCACATTACCCAACCTATTATACCAACTGTGATCCTTGACAATTGGCAAATTAAAGTCTGATGATAGTGTACAGGCTTGTTTCGCCATGCAAATCTTTACGACGGCTAATAATCTGAACGCCTCCTCCTTTGACATTTTCTTCGTTAGAGAGATGCATCACATACTTTTTCGGTTTGAAACTAATGCATTTCGGGATTCGAAGTTGAAGTTGACGAAATCCTTCCTCATATTTAGGTGGACTAGCCTAGAAAAAGTACAAGAATTATGTTATAAATCAATCCGAAAAAAGCAAGAAACATACATCCCGTCTTCTGGCTGACATCTTTTACTTTAAAGTTGTCAGGCAAAATCTAATCATCGGTTTTGGTTGTAATATAAGAAGACTGAAAAAAACCTCGTTTGTGAGAAATATCCCTGAATGTTGTTCATAGCGACCGACATTTTTTTATTTTATTTGATTTGAATTAAACCGAAGGAACAAAAGACAAAAATAAGAGAAAAGATCGCATTTATTGTTGCTACCGTTTTTTCTTCGTAACCTTGTAAAAAAAGCTTTCTCATACACCAGGAAAGAAATTAAAAATAATACGTTTATATTATTATTACTGAGTAGTTATAAAAATCTTGAACTTTTTTTCACAAGACAAAAAAGAACACAAAATCCATTTGATTATGATACTTTAAAAGTATCTGTCATTACTGAACACATTGTGCATCAAACCTTACCATAACCGCATGATGTTGCCATGCACTACTCAGAGACATGAACAGTGTAAGCAGCCATATTATTCGCTGAGTACCATCACTTTACTTCATTCTTTGAATGGATACAGTCATCAGGAACTTTATTCGAGACTGATCAAGAAGTCCCACCCTTTTTCTACCCCCCATAACAGAAGACCACCTAGTCTTCTATTTTGTCCGATAAGTCGAGTCCTGAAGGCTGGTCTTCTATTGCGGTCAGATTTTGTTGCCTGCTAGTAGTCCAACGGTAATTCCTCACATACTTGAAGTCCATCCCAAATTAGAAGAACATTTTGATGAAATGTTTGGGACATTTTCCGATTTTTTCTAGCAGACATAATAGAAGACCATGGCCTTCTATTTGGCTTTCAAGTCATATAATCCGCAGTGGTCTTCTAATAGGGAACGGTCTTCTATTATGGAAAGGAGGGCATCCGCGCATCACCTGTTCTGTAGATAGATTTAGCTCTGGACGTATACCTCCTGAAATCTAAGGTGTACAGTGGGTATATTCAACTTTCATTTTGTTTACTTAAAGCATCACATAACGAAGAAGATGGCCATCACGGTGACAATGCGTCAACTTACCATACCGTTGAAGATGATGAAAAAGAACAAACAGAACAGTAAATTCTATGATTTATAACACTTAAGGCAGTTCACGTTAGTAACAAGATTCTTTCTGCTTCTTTTTTCAGATTACGTCCCGCTCACAGAAACGTAAGATCTTTGCTCTCAAGGTATTTCTGTTCTTTGTGTGACGATATGTCATTTGTATGTTTAGAAAGGTCAAATATTATTTAAAGAATGTAAAATTGAATTAGAACTGATAAAATTAAAAGAATATTGGAATACTAAAATTTATGGAACAATTCAAGTTCATCCAAGAGAGGCACAAGAATTTGTTAAACATTTTAAGGTATTAAAAGATATTTGACTTTGATTTATTTTGATTTACACAGCTTTTGTTATTTAGTTATACGTTGATAATACACCGCGTGTTGATATTAATTCAACGTATTCAAAATTTTCAGCATCTGGATTTTTACCAAATAAAAAATATACGATTTATCTTGAAGCACAGCCAAAAGATGAAATTAACTATGAAGGAGAAAACAAGAATTCGAATGCAGAAGTAAGACTTTAGCTCGATCTTTTCAGCCCACAGAAAAGCTTAATAAAAGATACCTCTGTCAGCCTAAGCGTGAAACTTCTTCACGATATTCTTAATTCTAGGTTAAATCTCTCCCTTGTCAATATGTGTCTCGACGAGAGAAGCAGCCCACCCTTCATTATAACCCTTAGTTTTACGATTTAATTATAAGATTGAAAAAAGCAAAAACAAACGAAACTCGTTCGAACGAACGATCAGAGAGAATTTGGGGAGATATTAAACTCCTGAGCTGGTTGAGCGAGAGAGATAAGGCTAGAACAGAAAGCAAAGCATGAAAGAACACTACACAGTTGATAGAACCAAACACTTGAATTGACAATTCAAATGCAAAGAGTTTACTTTTGTACTAAATTGTCCAAAAGTAAATGCCTCAATAATAGCAATCATGAAAGAGAGAATGAAAGAAAAAATTCAACAGAATTTCGGATATTAGAATGGAACGTTCATAAACTTTTTTTGAACATTGGAATGTTCAATTCTCGGTTCCAAAATACACAGTGGAAATCGAAACCGTGACCCTAGTGCAGAACATGTGATTACTAGTAGTAAGGACAAATCTCACTGCATATTTTGAAAAACTTCTAGAATATTATTTAAGGGTAAAAATTTTTAAATTGATACGATTATAACTAGGGCTGGCACTTTTTTTTACTTTGTCAAGCAAAGTAAGCCGAAAAATTTACTTTTACCCTCCTCGATCACTAGCGAATCGTTGTTTAGTGTTGCTGGCTATGTTACGTGATCGTTATGAATTATATTCAAAACCCATAGACAAATATTGAAACAGAATTCCTACAGAACTTTTTTAAAACATGTTCTTTTATTTGTTTTTAAGACAAAATAAAGAATTCACAAAGGGCAAAAGACATGCAAAAGAGAGACAAAGGAAAGACTATATTTGGTTTAAACATTGAATACATCTTTCAGACATTCTGTTTTCCTGAAATGTTCTGTTTTGCTGCTCAAAATGGCATGCGCATTATCTACTTATTCAGTGAGTCAACATAAGACGTTCGAAACAGCTAAATAACATAAAACCTTCATTTACTCTTGTTTCCTTTACAAGAAAAAGCAAGAATGTTATTTTTCTTTTACTAAGTAACAAGTAAAACAAAAATTTCCACTTTACTTTCACTTGGTAAAAGTAAAAATTTAGTTTTTCTCTACAAGAGTAAAGTGGAAATTTTTATTTTACTTTTTTAGTAAAAGAAAAATAACATTTTTACTTTTTGTTGATAATATAAACTTCAATATTTTTGTTTTACTTCGGAAATAAAAGTAAGGTGGAACTCCTAGTTATAACGGCAGCTGATATAAAATTTATATCTTATTTAACTGAAATAATTAAGATTTATTTGATATTTTTTCGATGTTTCGAACAATACAGTGTTCATTATCAAGAAAACATAGTACAACTTAGTGAAAATAAACTGGTGAAATTAAAACCTAAACCTGAGAAGGAATACGGCAAAATATGGATAAAGAAAAGTTTGCCTAAGTCTAAAACTGAATATAAGAAGAAAGAATCTTCTCTTCCCTTCTTGTTTTAGTATGATACAAGAGAGACGAGAGAAAACGCGAGAAAGTGGAAAATATATAGTGACAATGTAGTCTATGGGTGAACAAAAGACGAAAGAGGAAAAAACAAAAAGAGAAGAAGGATCTTCTGTTTTATTGTTATAAGATGTGAATGATGTAATGTGAAAGAGTGAAGTAAGCAAAAGATCTGACTATGAAGCCATAATGAATCCGGATCTGAAGTCTTTCATCAGGACTTTTAAACTGTCCAGTCAATGATGTGATTAGTCTGAAATTCAATCTGAAATTTAGAACTTTTACGTTCGCCGGATATCTCTGTATTTTTCCGCTTGTATTCTGCGGAAAAATACAGAGATGTTCGGCGAACGTAAAAGTTCTAAATTTCAGATTGAGCGATCTTATGCGCTGAAGATGGAGACAGTTAGTCAACAGTTTATAAATGGGAGAATTTCCGAATTCATGCACTTTTAGAATTTATGAATGTGTGAGCTTTTTAAATTTATAAATTTGAGCGGTTTAAGAATTCAAGCATTTGTGATCTTTTTGAATTCAGGAATTTGTGATGGTTAAGACTTTATGAATTTGTGAGCTTTTGCAATTTAGGAATAAGTGAGCTTTTGGAACGTATGAAATTGTGAGCTGTTAAAATTCAGTTTGTGATTGTTTCGAATTTAGGAATGAGTGAGCTTTTAGAATTTATAAAAATGTGAGCTTTTGGAATTTATAAATTTGATAGGTTTAAGATCATTTACAAATCAATAAACCTATCGCATCTTATGATGGTTTAGAATTTATGAATTTATGAACACAAAAAGCATCCCAGAAAATATTAGTACTGTTAACATCGAGCCGATTGCACAACTTCAATAGTTGTACGGGATATAGGCACAGAATAGTGGATTTAGTTTTGCAGTTTCTTCAATGCTAGCTTCATGTGTTCGAACCTCTATTCGTACAAAAATGATTTTGTGTGTTTCGATAGTTTCAGTTTAGAGTACTATAATGGAATATTTTTCCGCTTGTATTCTGAGAGAATAAAGCTTATATTAAAAACGGAAAACGTTTTTTCTCTGATATTTTTGAAACCGTATGAGTTAGATACAGAATTTGATGCTCATTACGAGTATTCCTTTAAAATTGAAGAAGCTTGACTTTTCATGGAGAAAAGAGTTTCCTTAAGTTGTGACGACTAGATAGTATTCGCTACATTTTATCCGATAATCCATACTAAAAGAGCATCAAAAGAAGGTCAGAATATGCAATAATGTTTTTCTTTCAGAATATGTCTGTGAAAGCAGGATCTGTTTAGGTTGGATGATTAAAAAATTCAAGATAGGACCCCAGAATAGATAAAAATTTATATTTCTTTTCGTACTTTTGTCATTGTAACTGAACGAAAGCTGGAGCAATAAGAAATTTATATCTGCTACACTCTAAAAAAAAAGCGTCATTTACTAAACCCAAAAGGGGTTTAGCAAAATGCAATGACACGCTACCGCTTCAAAAGTTTAGTAAAAAACCCTTTTAGGGTTTAGTACGCTTACTAAACCTGAAAGCGGTAGCGTGTCATTGCATTT